CCGCGCGGATCCGACGATTCGAAACGTTCGGAACGTCCGCCAACCGATGCAAACTTTATCGAGAAAGACGATATTGGCGCGCGGTTTTCCTCGCATCCGGCACTTTCGAGCCGGCGAACGCTGGCCGAAGATCGGAGGCGCACGGCCAGTTGGAACAAAGGGCGGCTGCTGGACGGTGTAATGGCCAGTCGGGCAAAGGGTCAATCGAAGGCAACGAGGAGAGAACGAACGAGCGAGGAGATATCGCGACGGATCAAACGGAAGGGAGAAACGGAGAGGGAGAGGAAAAAAAGAAGAAACGAGGAGAGAATAACACTCGAACGAGTTAACTCGTTGGTGGGACCGAAAGCGATCATCAAACGGTCGATTGACGAAAGAACCGGGAACGAAAGAAGGAGGAAGAGACGGCGGAGCGCGTGGAGAGAAGCGAGAAGGGACGAAAAGGAGATAGGAAGAGAAAGATTAAGCGGGCGAGGGGAACGACGCGAGCAGGCAGAGAGGCGGCAGGGAGAGAGAGAGAGAGAGAGAGAGACTCGTTGTCGAGATATGTGGGAGCCACTCGATCCGATCGTACACACGGACGATTTCCAGCGACTTTAATCGATCGTCTACGTAGCATCGAAAGAAGAGGTCGTGAAACGTCGTATCGGAGGTTCGAACGGAACAGCGACGAAAGCCGCGAAACGCAGGGGGCTGATTTCAGCGCGTCGATGCGAGTCTTTGCTTTGCGAGAAACGCCGAACGAAACCGGATCGATGGGAAAGAACGTGGCCACGCGTAATCGCGTTGCGAGACTGTTCCCAGGGGGGTGGCGAGGGGGTAAAGCGAAGCGAAGGGCGTCCGCACAGGGGGCTGGACGTTGTTTGTCGGAAACCGGGGCATCCTGCTAATGCCTTGGTCGGTACTCCAGGTTCCTTTGTGCCACCCTCGTGCGTTACGGATTCACCCCTCCTCGCGCGGCTACGCAGCCCCTCTAGAACGCGATTTAAGCCGGCAGGCCACGCACCACGCTCCA